AGAATGATGAGATTTTGCAAGCAAGGTCCTAGAGTCTGAAGTGCAGACTGCAGTTATGTGCCTTCTGAAAAGGGAAGATGCATTAAAAGTCTGCCTAATGTTTGTCTAGATGTGCTACATTTTGCGTTTCACCAAATAAAGTAAATGTAGGTGAGCAACACATCGTGTATAAAAACAACATAATTGACCCAATATGCTTCTCATATTCCCTTGGCAGATCTTCCAGTATAGATCTGGCCTTCAATGGGGATTTCCATTCATGCCTACAATGTTTTCCATAGCATGGCATCTCAGTGAAGTGGAAGGCATATGACAATTTGGCTTTTTTGGCTATGGCGTCCTCAATCAAAAGCATGGAGTGACATTCCTTTCCTGCACTGCCTGGCATGCAATGTGCAATATGTCAAAAAATATTGTTGCCCCTTCCATATCGTGTATTGTTTTCTTCCACAAGCTATTAAATACAGTGGAAGATATTTAATATTTAGATTGGTCACAGGCAGTGAGTAAATACTTTTGCTCATTTAACGATGTGCTTATTGTGGGCACATTCTGTGCTCCAGTAAAGCCTTTTGCATGAAAGCACAGTGGAACCTGGAAAACCTAGCTTTGAGCAGGGGAACTCTTGAATTACATGGTGCTGGTATATTTATGTCTATGTGTCCCCTTACAGTCAGCCATCCCTAGCTGTCACCCTGGCCCCTGGAGACTGCTGGAAACTGGCACAGAGGTGGAGCAGCACTTAGATTGTTCTATGTCAAGGTATTGACCAAACCAGTCTTGGCTGGCAGAGCCCAAATTTGCTGTAGGTCACTTTCCCATGCATCATTCTTCTATACATACTTTGTGTGCTCTGGGTTAAAGCTGTGGCTCTGAGCCATTTTCCAGACTCCACTTATTCCTGCTTTATGTTCTCAAAGAAAGGGTCTATGATTTCAGGTAATCTATTTTCATAAGTGAGGTGAGCATGATTATGTTATTATTTTTGTTTCTTTACTGCAAACAAATATTGCATCTGAACTACAAGTCAAGTCCAACACAGTGTCCCATAACCATAGCATGTCAATTAGTTTTCGTTCTTCTGTTTCAATCTTTCATCTAGATGACAAATATATAAAACCCTCTTTTGGATGAAGATGGTTAGGTGTCCAGCAGGACCACTATGTTTTATTTATTCTGATAAGCATTTCAAGTAAATTGTTGTCACGAGGTGCCCAGCTGTGATCCTGTGATTGTGTACCAGTTTCAGACATGTGTGACGTGTGCATTTCTCTATCTTACATGGGGAAGAGGGGTATTGCTGTAACAGAGAAGCACTTTAGCATGAAGAATGCTGCTTTATATCCACTATGCAGAATTCTAGTTTATATCCACTGGGATTGGATTATACTACTTTTTAATATTACACTTTTACAGCTAGAGAGTGACAGGAAGCTCTCTGGCAGGTATCTTTCAAAGCTGTGACATCCGCTGCTTTCTTTAATGAGATCACTTTCCATGTTACATCACTTGTTTTTTACTTAAGTACTTACACTGTATGTGCTGCGTTGTTGGATCACTCTAAAAGGACAGCGAGAGAAGCCAGATCTAGTGTTTATTCAGCCTGCACTTCACCTAGCAATCTCCATCTGATGCTCAGATCAATTCTAAATTTAAGGGCAAAATCAGAACACCATGAACAGATGCACAGCTTTCCTTCTGCAACTGAAGTAACGGATAATGACTTTACTAATATTTCAGCCATTAATGATGCTGCTGAAATCTGCCATTTGCTTTGGTCAGTTTGCTTTAATTCCCCAGTTTTCCTCTTACCTTTCCTTCCATGATTTCTCAAACCTTATCTTTCTGATGAAACAGATGTCAGCTGTACTGCAGCTGGGCATGCAGAAATCCTGAAGTGTTTCATGAATGGTATAGGTTCATCTTGTTATGCTCTTGACTTTGCTATCACAGATGGCTGTTGGCTTTCTAAACATGTCATAGGTTTAGAAAATAAAGACAAATCCCTTCAATGCAGCTATGAATGCAGTAGGTAAGCTTCCCCTAAATGTTTAAAGCCGTTTCATTTTCTTAGTTATAATGGCTTTTCCATGACAGATGTATCTAATCTAGAGAAAGCAATGTTATGCAAGTTAGATGATAATGAATTTCTTAGACAATATCAGAAGAAAAGTATAAATGTGAAGGTAGGTCCTAAGGGATGCAAAAATAATTTTATTGTGATTATTTCTAAATGCAGATAAAGCTAATACATTTTCTTTTCACTCTGCCTTTGATGATGAAAGCAACAGGAAAAGAATACCACCACCAATCGTCTCAGTGCCTGGGGCTGACTCCAAGTACCCACACTGTTGATCCTACCATTTGTCACTTCTGCATACGTCAGTGCCTAGAAGTCACAACATGCAGAAGCTGACAAAGACCTGATCATCTGGGTGCAACAGGAACTGTTCACTGGAAAGCTAAAATATTAAGACTTGCTGTAGGCATGGGGGTCCTTAATAGAGAAGATTGTGTAAATTCTCCAACAGAGCAATGAATTTAAATCCTGGCAAAAGAACTGACTTGTACCCTTTTCTATATAATACAAATCATAGAATCATAAAATCATAGGTTAGTTTGGGTTGGAAGGGATCTTAAAGATCATCACGTTCCAACCCCCCCTGTCATGGGCATAAGCAACTTTCACTAGACCAGGTTGATCAAGGCCCTGTCCAACCTGGCCTTGAATACTTCCACAGATGTGCTGTAAGTTCTCCCCAGAGATCTTCTCCAGGCTGAACAAGCCCAGCTCTCAGCCTCCCTCCACAGCAGAGGTGCTCCAGCCCTCTGAGCATCTTTGTGGCCTCCTCTGGACTCACTCCAACAAGTCCACATCCTTCTTATGTTGGTGGCCCCAGAGCTGAATGCAGTAATCCAGGTGGGATCTCACACAGCGGAAGGGGGAATGATCCCTTCCCTCAACCTGCTGGACAAGCTGCTTTTGATGCAGCCCATCACACAGTTGATTTTCTGAGCTGCAAGCACACATTGCTGGCCCTTATTGAGCTTCTTCGTATCCTTTACCTCCATAAATGGCTCCAATAAGCACTGCTTTTATATATGAAGTTGATGAGAAGTGCCCCTGAGCCTTCAGTAAACAAGCCTACTAAAGGTGCCTGTTTATATAGACAGAAAACGATCTGGTCCAATTAGAATTTCATGAGCTCACAAATGTTTCTTCCTAGGAAGATGAAGTAGAAACCATTTCTAAAGGATTAATGTTTAAGCTTTCTGAATTAAAATTGTAACAGGTGTCAATTTTACATGCTTGTCCTTGCAACAAATTATCCATTTGATTGATGACAGTAAAAGATAGTATTTTCTTTAGAGTTCAGTTTTGAAAGTGAAAAGTTGCGATTTTTCCATACAACTGTACTTAAATCACCTCCTACTGTTTTCTTAATTGAGATGTGAGGAACTACATTTTTTGAAGGACACTTTGATAATGAGTTCATCTTTTTATCTTTAAAGATGGTAAGAGGAATGTCTTATAAGTTGCTATGGTTTACTGAGTTTCACTCTGATCTATCTTCTTTATGTAAAGACACTATATACATGCCTACATAAATCTTCTCAGGTGCAGATTTCTAAGTAAGAGGCCTTGTCCTACCTTTCTCTCAAAGGGGGGGATGTCTACTTATGATTAACCTCAGAGCGGAACAAATTTACTAACAACACTTAATGAAATCACTGTACTTACCCTTAAGTCTGTATTTAGTTATTTATTAGCCTCATTATATAGGTAACCTAGAAGGGGAACTTTTATTCTCCAGATGCCTGGGGACATGAAATATGACCAAATTAATCTCAGTCTCTGTATGTTGAAGCTTCTCAGTCTTTTCCCTGTATCCCACCAATACAAAGTGTTTCCAACCTCTCAAAGCTGCAAGTTTATTTCCATGCTACTTTCCAGTGCTGATGTGTACAAGGAACATCTGAGCAAGTTTGCTGCAACTATGTTGGAAATCTCCATTGTCCATGATGCTTCTTGGCTGACTCCCAAATATTTAGCTTAGGATATTATTTAGCTCGAGGTATCTAGTTTGAGATAGCATTTAGCTAGAGGTAGATAGAGTTGCCGCGGTGATAACACAGGCTGACAAAGCCAAGGGAGACTGTAGGAAAGCTGGCATTTGAAAGAAAAACTTTAGTATTCAACAGAAATGTATAGACAATGCCACCTAACACAACCATACTGATAGTTAATTCTCCATCATCTGAAAAACTCTTTTCCTGACTGAAATATCACCTGCTAAGTTGCCTGACATGAGAAACATGCTTGGTGTAAGGCTCCCTGTGCAAAAAAAGAGTCGACTGGGTAATTGCAAACCCGAATTTCACTAGAAAGCCTTCATTCCATCAGGAATGGCCTGAGTTGGGGCTGTCAGAGGGCTAGCTCAGTGTAACAGCGTGGTTTTGCAGGCTATGTATGAGGCATGCTTTCAGGCAGACAAGTGTCTTCCGGCGCTGTTAAACGGAATACTTGTGAGCTCAATGAAGCCGCAGCCCTGGAGCCCACCTAGCCTGTGAGCTCCCCCAGGACCATCCGGACGCCCTTCTCGCGTGGAGCACTGCCCGCAGACGGGGAAAACCTGGCGGGCAGAGCCGGCCTGGGTGCTGCGTTCCGTCTGGCTGGCTTCCCGTGCTTGTGCAGCCGCCCTTCACCGCAGCCCGGCTCCACGTCCATTGCTGCCTCAGGCCCAGCACCGCCGCCCGTCCGCTCCTGGTGCACCCTTCCCGCCACCGGGACCAGGAATGCCGGGTGTGAAGGCGGCTCCTGCGCCCCGGGACATACCTCTGCCCCGTCCCGGGGGCAGGGAACGTCCCTTCCCGTCGCCAGCCCTACCCGCCTCGCAGCCGCCCGCTGCCGCCCTGCCCCTGCCCCTGCCCCTGCCCCTGCCCCTGCCCACCCATCAGGGGAGGACGCGAAGCCGCAGAGGCTTATAAAATGCCCCCCGGGGCGGGCGGGAGGAGCGCACCGCGCTGCTGGGGCTGCTGCCGAGCGTGAGGGACGGGACGGGGCCCGGGCAGGGGCACCATGGCCCAGGCCGTGTGGGGCTACGACAGCGACAACGGTGAGTTGGGGCAGGGGGGCCGCCGGGCCGGGCTGAGCCAGAGACATTTCCCTGCCTTCCTCCGCAGGACCCGAGCGCTGGCATGAAAACTACCCTCTGGCCAAGGGAGACAAGCAGTCGCCCATTGAGATCAACAGCAAGGACGTGAAGCACGACAGTTCTCTCTCCTCTTGGCATGCCAGTTACGATCCCGGGGCAGCGAAAACCATCCTAAACAACGGGCGCACCTGCCGAGTCGTCTTTGATGACACTTTTGATCGATCAGGTTGGTTTTTTGTTTGGTTTTTAGGGGATTATTGTAAGGAGCTGAGCAAAGAGTTGGGAATGAAAACACATCCTGTGGTACCTGACCTACGCAGGCTAGCAAAGGAAAGGCATTTGGGAACGTAAAGTAGTTTATTCTGGTGGATCCTGCCATTTTTAGGTCCACCATAGATGGGACAGGGAGGCTGGAGCTGCAGGGGCATTCCTAAGATTTGGACTCTGCTGGAAGGTGGACTTCTCCTCAGGTCACTTCCTTCAACACAGACACTGCCTCCTCAGCTTTTGTGTAAGGAGAGAGCCCTCTTCATACAAACATACCTCAGGCTGTGGCTCTGGTAGCCGAAGGACCAGTGCAAAAGTGTTTCTCCACCAAAACTTTGTATTTTAATAGTCAGTCATGTTTATATACAGAAGCCAATTGCAGGTATTCTGTATATAACCCCAGAGGGGTTTAGTGTGTGCTCTGAGGCACTTTGTAAACAAAAACCTCATATATACATTTCCAGTGACTGTGATTTTTATTTCTTCTGTTTGTACAGAAATTCTTCAAATACTGCACAACCTGAAAAAGCTATGAAGATAATATTTATGAAAATAGCATTTCATAGCTTCTGGAAAGCTACAAAATGGCTTTGTAATGTGATAGCGGGCAGCCTCGCATCTCAAAGTTAAATTGTTCAAAAACTGACTCCAGAGCTATATCAGTGTGTAGCTCTGAATGCAGACAGGCAACAGCTGTCAACATGAATAATAAATTCTCAATATCATATAATACAAAGATATCTCGAGAGCACGCAGTATTGATCAGTCCAAGAAGGAAAACAATCTAATTAATGGAAAACAGTTACTTTTCATTATATTTTCCTGTATCTGCTTTGATGGCATTTGTATTGGGATTTTATTCTTAGTAAGCTATGTAATTAATTAAATACATCTACATTATACTGAAAGATCTGCATCTCTCTTATCAAGATAAGCACATTGTTTCCTTGGACTCCTACCAATAGAGCTACCTGTTACTGTTCCACATCTTGCAGATGGAATCTGAACTACATAGGACAGAGACCATCTCTTTGCTATGCATTTGTATGGTGCTTTAGTATTTATTACGGCAGTTTCTACACAGTGACCTCAGACAAATCATAAATTGCACTTTCTTTACAACACAGAATGCTCTTCCACAAGCACTTCATAAAATTGGTGCCATGGCTGAAAGCGTGGGAAGTAAATTGATTACGAACCTTTTCACATGGTGGTTCTGCTCTGTCTTCTTTGCAGCTTCCTAAAAGCTGAGGTGTTTAGACAGAGGCTACTCAAGACCATGTCTGCCCAGGGAACTGTTTTGGAGAAAGACCCTAATTTGGCCAACCACAGTGCAGCCCTTCCTCTAAATCATCTTTCCTCCATTTCTTCGCTGCCTTTCCCCTCCCCATTGTGTCTTGTAATTCTTCTGGACATTAATTGTGCACAATCACTCCCTGCTGCTGTTAACTAACTTTCTGCAGGCTGCTGGACAGTAGTTTAGGAATCAAGCCTTTCATAGCGATGTGTCTGGTTGGAATCAAATACAATGTTTGACAGCTGTGAAAAACCACGAGAAAGTATTTAATAAACATTTTTTACCTTCTGTAGTGGCAACGGCTGAGGATAAGTAGTAGCCACAGACCTGATTTTAATTGGAAAAAGAAATCTAGCTTGAAGATACTGATCTAATCAAATGGAAAATTTTGAATGTCAAGATTTATTTTTATGGTGGAGAGATCTGTATACTGTTATGAAATGCTGTTTCCAAGTGCTTCGCAGTATGATCTCTGGAAAGGGCTGTCAGTAAGAAACAACTGCTATGTGAGGTTCCAACTCGATTGATTTAGCTTGTCAAAGTAATTAAATAATATAAATTCAGCTCCTGAAAGTTTTTGCTCCACACTGATTCCAGTGTGAAATGGCAAGCAAACACTTGTGAGGATTTGGGTCTTAAGAGTCTATGCCTTATTTTTCCTACATTCACAAGTAAAACAATACATATTTTCTATTGCTGGCATTTATTCAGAAGGCTTACTTATAACTTGTGTGAGTTAGTTATGATAATTTAGTTATGTGCAAACTCAGAACCTAATTGGAACTACATGCTAAAACTCAGCCATTTGTTTCTGCCCACCGGTGGCTGCGACGTCTACCAACTAAAGAGAGAAACTGCAAAATTAAACCTTTTGCTCTGTGTATATAATATCAAGAATTAATTTGAACCCACTAGGGACAAGAGGATTTAGATACTACTTCAACCTTAACTTTGAACTTCAAAGCTATTGGTAGACATTCAAACTTGAGTGCTATTTAAACAAGTTCTTTTGGCACTGCAGTTGTGAATTGCATTACCAGCTTCTGTGTAAGGAACATGTCTCATTCCTGCCTTAGGTAAGGAATGAAAAATGTATTTGAGAGATTATCCTCTAAGCAGTCTCTGCTTGAAAGAATTCCTGAACTAAAAGAGCAGGTATGAGGTTTTGAAAGTCAGAGTTGATGTCAGCTGTCAGACTGATGCATGGTCAGCATTATTCAGCTATGAACAGCAGACATAATAGCTTCATAATTTTTTTCATTATTGGCAACGTAAATGTGGACTATAGTTTTTACTTGTAAAAGGTATGCCAGTCATGGACTAGAGGTATACTTCAAAGCACCTTTGGGTTAATTTCACAATCCTATCCTCAACCATTTCACAACAGACCCTTTCTTGAGAGGGATCAACTTGAATGCCTTCAGTCTCTCTCCACACCAGGAGCTGTAGGGTGTCCACTTGCCAAAAGAAAAGCTGCTTGTTGGGCAGCTGGGGTTTGATTCTGTGTTTGACTCACAGCAGATTTCACAGTTTCCACATCAAGCATGACTCCTCCTGAGAGATAACAGAATTCAGCTCCTATCTTGTAAAGTGATAAGTGTGATCCTTACTGCAGTCAGCTGGATTTCCAAGAGGTGCTCCACACTTTTGAAGTATGGGTCCCTGCACGGTGAATGTGTATGCCAGTGTTCTGTAGGCTAGTGCTGATGTGGATTGTCTATCGCAGTGCTGAGAGGTGGGCCACTCACAGGAGCCTACAGGCTGCGTCAGCTTCACCTGCACTGGGGTTCCTCTGATGACCATGGCTCTGAACATGTTATAGATGGGGTGAAATATGCAGCAGAGGTAGGACTTACTTTTGACAGTAGTGTTCAGTACTAACTGGAGTCTTACTGTTTGTGCATCTGAACAGATTAACCATTCTCCCTTTTGTGAGTATTTAGCTATGGATTTTTCTCAAAAAATCCGTGAAACTTGTGAATATTCATCAGCATGCAGTGGAGTAAGTTGCACCTGCCAACAAATGTATCTTTGCATGTATATACTAACATGGAATTTGCTTCTTCAAGCAAGAGTTTTGCTGGTATTTTAGAATGTTTTAAAAATATTTGAGGCAAAGTGATCTGTTATTTCCAAATAGGAAGATCTGTTTTCTGCTGACAGTTTTTGGCTTTCAGCTATTTCTGGTATAGCTTGAATGACTAAGTTAGTTTTCAGAAAGGATTGCTAAGGAATAGAAAAACTCACTGAAAGCACATTTGATAAACTGACATTCAAAATTAGATCCACCTTAAAACAGATTCAGAGTGGTAAAGAGTATCTTCCAGTTTCTGAACATGTGTGCTTTAAAATCTCTGTGTTTATTTTCAGGAACTGTGGACAGTGGTTGTTTGTTTGTATTTTAATGTAAGCTACTGTACTATTGTCCAAATTTGCTAAAATTAATGGCTTCTCTAGGCCCTGAAGACTTCTTGATGTTTTCATTATTGATGCTAGTGAATTACTAGCAAATGTTACCCCTTTCCTCCATGTTATTTGAGAATAGGCTCAAAATACATGCCTACTCCTACAAAAAAGTCTGCAGTAGTGTTTTCCTGCCTTCCACCTCTACCCTCAATGTGTACAGCAGGTGCTTTGCCCACCTATCATAGGAGAAAATTTAGGCATGCATTTTGCAGCATCAGTGTGCACAAATATTGAGAGATGACTGTGAGTGATGGTTTGGGGGGGAAAGGGGTTCCCATTCTTTGGCCACAGCCAAACTGTGTTAGTGTTCTACTTTCTGTGGCCAACTAAACAGATGAATTCTGCTTCCTCAAGCTATTTCTTGGTTCGTTCAAGCACAGGCTTTTTATGTTACTTTTGTTTGCAGTTCTCAGATAGGTATTGGCAGGAGAAGAAAGCCTGGAATGTATTAAATTTTGCTAGCATGCAACCAAAGATATATGGCTGCTCCACCTTTATCTTAAGCAATGATATCCTTTTCCTCAAGAGAAAAGAAACATCAACCAATACATTAATTTCTATTCAGGACAAATGATTTTGTTGTCATTTAAAATAAATATTACTATGCATTAAAAAAAAAAAAAGTTAAAAATTTTCATTCAAAATATGCACCATATGTTTGGGTTTTGGTTTAGGTTTTTGTATGGTGCTGTGTTCCAAATGTCACTTACTTGAGATTCCACACTGCTGGGTGCAGCAGTTGTAGTAGTAGTTGTTGTTGTAGTTGTAGTTGCAGGAGCCAAAACTTCTTTTTAATAGATGGAGAAGTAAAAGCTTGAAACGTATCCTGAAATACAGCTTTGTTCAAAGTAGAAATGGGAAAGAAATGGCAGGTTACTCTATCCACTCCTTTCCAGTACAATGTGCTTGGAGTAGTAACAGATAAAAACCAATGTGTGCACTGCATACAGTCCAGTGTAAATCCTTGAGCTGATATCTGCATAACCTGAAGATCAGCAAGTCTACTTGAGATGAAGTGCATGTCAGGTGATTTATGCACTGCATGTGTGCATGCTGTGTGCTTGGGTTAAATTGTTTGTAGTTTCATTGTCCGATTAATTTTTAAATATATTGTGTGGAAAGCACCTTTTTCTTCTTCTTATGCTTCAGTTAAATGCAAAGTGTTGCTTTATAGGAACTGAGAGCATATGGAAGCATGAGAACAGCAGCAGGAAATATATAAAATTTTGGTTTTCATGTCCATTCCTTTACTTACTGTGTACTGTAAACTTTTCTTAGTTTAATTCAAAACCTTATGAGATTGTGCGGTTGGCAATTTCTTGATTTAATAACTGAGGTTTCATTGATTTTTAGTTACATATGGTGCACTGGAATCCAAAACATGGTAATTTTGCTGGAGCTTTAAAACAACCTGATGGTGTGGCTGTTGTGGGCATTTTTCTGAAAGTAAGTCACAAATATTTAGCCTTTGTAATTTTCTGTATTTTTATTTCTCTCTAGAGCCGGGGAAAAATATCCCATAATTTTTCCCTGCACTGTACCATTCTACAGGAGAACACTCAAAGTGATGTACAGACTGATGTCACATATGCACTAACCTGTTCAGAGCCAGCTTCTGACACTGTCTGTACCAGTGGCACATATCATGGGTAGTAGTGAACAAGTCACGCAACTTCAAGCCTGGGACACTTGCTAGCTTTATCCCTGATATCTGACCAGCTCTTTAGTGTGGAGTGTAGACTGAGGAGAACAGTCTGCATAGGAAGAGTGTTTCCTTCTGCCCGTTGTCTGCTAGCAGGTATTGTGTCTGCCTGTGAGCAAGGTTATGTAAACTGAATCCCTTCCTTCGTGTCTTGGTGATCCTTACGTAAGCTGGGAATCAAAAGGAATTCAACAAACCTGCTCAAAAAAAAAAAAAGTAATTGGTGGTAAAAGAAGTTAACTGGAGATTTTAACCATGAAATACAACAGCTTGATAACAAAATAATGGAAAATATTTACCAATAGTTTCCAATTGTTTTTCCTAGTATCAGATGTGCAGGTGATTTAGGGTACTGAGAAACACCAACAGGCAAACAAACTAATAGCAGTAAGTTACGCAAACTTCAGCTATGTCACTTTATGTGAAGATGGGCATTTCAGCTTGAACAATGTCAGAGAATAGCTCTCCTTATATTGTTTTATCACTAGTAAGCTGCATTTATACAAGCAATAGCAAGTGCATGTAATTAATTTTGCCACAGTGTCCCTGGACAGGGTAGATCCAATTAATTTTAATTCTGTTACACTGTGAGCAAGCCTGACCTTTTTTCTTGTGGTTGGTTGGTGGGTGCCTGTCCAGATTCTCCCCTATGATTATGTCCTTCAATTATTCTTTCTTTGTCACTTCTTCTGGTCTATTTTAGGCTAAAGCTTTATCTTGTAAAACACAACTTAAGAGTAACGCTATCTTCTATTAACCATGCTAAGGTCAGCTAAAAGGTCTAGAAAACTAAGTAGTATCAGTGTTGTCTGGCTTTCTTTCATTGTTTCTTTCTTGCTCTTTAGTGTAGGAGCTGTTTTGCTCTGGGGCTGTCATGTTCTACAACTGCTTTTTTGGATATTGCTAAAACAGAGATTGAACTATCTCCTGAAGAACTGAATTTAATCTATTTTGGAACAAGACATGGCAATAACAGCATGTCTTATGCATACTGTCTACTCATCTTGGATGCAGAAACACATCAAAGCTTTTGGAGGTGCTGAATCTCATTAACACAAACAATAAAGTGACCCCATAGCTTGAGGAGGTCATGACATGAATCTCATCGTGTCTCACACGAAGTCTGATCTGACTGCATATATGCTGTAGAGTGTTTGAAGTGCCTGCAAGAACTCCAGCTCGTCAGATTATCAACACTTTGCTGAGTGCTCATATATCTCACACTGGTTGTGGGTTGCTTTCAAACCAGGAGCCAAAAGACAGGCCTCAGATGATGTAGATGACACTGTCTGACCACGCAGTTTGTTCCCCAGACAGTGGGAGGTGCCATGTAGAGTCCTTCAACACATTCTTGAATTGCAAAGCCGGTTACTTGAGTCCGCTATTCTGGATATGCTTTTAACACACATAATTTTGTGTCAGTCTGTACCGGATGTTCTGCAAGTACTGCTGCTAACCTGACAGATGGGATGTACTGAATTTCTTTCAAACACTGTGGGACATGATAAAAAAATACAGTACTTGTGCTTTGCATTGCAGGTTGGAAATACTCCCAAACCAGAGATGAAGAGAATTCTTGAAGAAATTGATAACATTAAGACCAAGGTATCGAAACAATTTCTGTGTTATAATGTAGTTGAAAAGCATCACAAGCAGAAATCAAAAGTTCAGATTCACTTTTTGTCATCATTCTCATACCTAGCAGTAGCACCAGAGGTGATACATTGAACTGTGGAGCAGTTTCTTTTACTTTAGTAAACATGTAACTCCTCACTTCTGTAAGTATTCTTGTTGTAAAGGATTTTCTACCAATCTTTGCATGCACAATTTATAATCTTATTGATACTGCTCTGTAAAAACACATCAGTGTTCAAATGTCAGGAAGAAATGAAAAGATCTTTTTAATACGACGACAGCAGTGGCCAAAGCAAATGCATAATCAAGTCAGAAATTTAGTTAGCCTGAAATGAGAAGAAACTGGTAGGAATGATGGAGCAAGCTCCCACTCAGTGTAAGGGAGATTAAAAACTTTATTAGTTTTAACATGGAACTGAATTCAGTTAAAAAGGATTGCACAGTACAGTTTCTACAGCAGCCCTAGGTTCTCCCTTCCTCCGTCTGTGCTGTGATACCAGCACAAACACTATTGCAAACCTATTCTAAACTGCTTTTAAGTTTAGTTAATGATCTAAGACCACAGTCCATACCTATTGCATAGACACAACTGCAGAAGGGACTTCTTTGCAGAGAATTGTGATACTGCATCTGTTGTTACTTAACATGGCAGGGGAGTTGGAACTGAGTGATCTTAAAAGTCCCTTCCAACCCAAACCATTCTGTGGTTCTATGACTGATTATTATTTAACATAAACCTAACTTCTAGGTATACCTAAGCAATTCTACTTCATGATAAGTTTTATGATTCTAATGATGCTAAAAGTCCCATTTTTTACTCAACACTGAACATACCACCAGATCACCAGAACTGAATTTTAGAAATTTTGTAAGTATTTTCTTACATATTTAGCAGAATTTCTTGCATTTAATTTATGTATGTATGTACTGCCACTGATACACAGGTCTGAGCCTGAAGTCTGTTCTTTCGTCGCTCAGTCATACTCATTTAATTTTTCAGCCTTTTCTTAGTCTTCAGATACAATTCAGTTCTTTCTACTGATGGAACTGAAGGTCATTTTTTATTCTCTACCCATTGCTTCCCCTGCTGCATCAATGATACCTGTCTTGATTCAGATGCTGCTTTCCCTCATGATTCCTCTGTAATTTTTTGGCCATTTACTTACAGAAGAGCTTTGCCACAGTTAGTAAAGTTGATCAGTCATCCTGTGAAACACTGTCTCATACAGTGATGACAAGACAGCAGCAATATCCACTCCATTACATTGTATCTGAGACTGCCTCACTGGAGATTTCATCATTTTTATCAGCAAAAATATAGAAGTCTCATTTCCTACATACAGATATCATCTGCAGTGGTTCTGGGAAAAGCAACAGTTAAAGAAGAGAAAAGTACATGTGTAAACAACCACATCTTGTCTTTCATTTCTAGTACTTATTTTCTTTCCTATCATCACATACATTTCACCAAGATTGCCTGTTTTTCAGGAAAGGTTAATAGATGGCATCACCGGTATAGTTATTGCATATGCAGTTTCAACTGCTGTGATGCATTACAGGCAGAGGAGTTTCTTGGACACTACTTACTGGGAAAGCGTAATTTTGCAAAGTTACTCACAAACTCATTGAACTTGCACAATTATTTTTCCAGGAAGATACATTTTGAGTCTTGAGGTTATTCTTCCTACCCATGTTTTGTGCAAGGATGTATGGGAACAATTTCAGAGCCTCCCACTGCATTTTCTAGAGTAATAACTCTGTTCCCATCTAGAAAAGATCCTCCATGTTAGGAGAAGGAATTAGGAACAATGTATTTTGCATTCCAGAACTGCATCCTAAATACCAGTAGAAAAGTGAACTTTCTTGTTTAGTTCTTGTTGCCATGGGGGGATAAGGAAGTCTCATCACCACAGTCCCTTGGAGACAATCTTGTGGAGTATCCTATTTGGTGGAAAATAAGAACTTCTCAGGATGTATTGTCTGGTGTTCTCCCTTGCCTGGTGATAATCACGTTTAGTTGTGAGACATTCAGGATCCAGTACGCTTCCAGGAACTAGCTTATTTTTTCACATGAAGTGTAACAGTGTCAACAAAAACATTGAGAGTGTCCCTATGACATTGTAATTACCATGTAAACATAGAGGAGAAGATTAATGAATCTGGGCTAAATGCCTGGCCACTGTTTCATCAGATAAAAAATGTGCAAGTACCCGCAGCCACAGCCTTGAACTTTATTTGCAACTGACCCAAAATAAAATAAAAATTTGATAGTTTGAATAGAAAAAGGTAACTGTGAATTTGCTTTGGTCCCACACAATTCAGTTTGTAATTTCTTTTACTTCATTAATGGAATCGAAATGTCAGCTGTTATTAATTACAGGGCAAATGCTTGACAGTAAGAAAAGGTGCTTGATTTCTTGCATGAATCTTGGTATTTAATTACTTCCTTCATAATAACATAGATAGTGATGTCTTTTTAAGATGCATATCCCTAGAGTTACTGCAGAGAGTTATTTCTTGTTTCTCTAAGGGGAAAGAGGCTCCTTTTCAGCACTTTGATCCTTCAATTCTTTTCCCCAAATCTCGAGACTACTGGACCTACCATGGCTCTTTCACTACACCCCCCTGTGAGGAGTGCATCACTTGGATTCTCTTGAGGGAGCCAATTGAAGTCAGCGCAGATCAGGTAAACTCCAGCTAGTTTTGCTACTCCTTTTCCAGTTCTCACCAGTGTCTCAGTATGTCAGGGGGATGATTTGCAATCCCTGCGTTTCCTTGTATTTTCTAATGAGGAAAGCTTTAGTTGAGGACTGTGAGAAATTTACTGTAGAATAGACTGTTGAAATGGTCTGACATTGAGAATCAGGGTCCTTTCCTAGACACCTTCTGCAATAGCTTCAACAGCAGTGTTTTGGGGATCCTGAAAACCTGCAGAAGTGTCCCCGAGCCACAAAATTCAGCCATCACAGCAGCCTCAGTTCATTCTGTGTGTTTCAGCATTAAGTGGCAAGTGAGACAAACATTCAGCTGGTTTCCCAGTATAAGAAGTTGCTGGTCCACATCTTGACTTACTAAAACCTGTCAGAAGGATCAGACTAGCTCGAACGTGCAAACCTCAATGTTATTACAAATCAATGGACTAGTTGTATTAATATAATGTGCATTTAGACAGGAGAAAGAATAGAGAGCCAGTCTGGGTAAGGTGACCTTCCTTTTAATTCTAGCATTAAAACTTTTGGTTATTTATAGTATTTTCTGCTTCAGCAGTACAAGCCAGGGTATAGCCTTTTTCCTGATTTGGCTGGTTTTAGAAGAGATTTATTTTGCATTCTGATGAAAGCGTAACAATTAACGAAGTAACAGTGAATTTAAATTAATTTGGAGAACAATGTCTAAGTGCTGAATTCATGATTGAATTTAGTAATCCAGTTGGCATATGTTTCTCTGCCGTACAGAACAAAATAGGAACTTCTGCAGACCAGCTTTTTTTTCTACTTGCATAGACTTGCCTGGCCATATTTTCGTAAGTGGTTTAACTACAGTCCAGCACCAGCAGGGTCATTGTCTTGATCTTCATCAAAAAGAGTAAAGCCCTTTACTCTTCTTCTACATTCTGAGTGTCAATCCACAAATCCAAAAGAAGTCCAGGCAAGGGTGGTGCAGTGATCTGTGGATGAAGAATGTAAAGATCCACAGAAATAGTGCTAGCTGGTGGGCTGCAGTGATTTCTACCAACAGTCTCTACCACTATGCTTGACATTACACAAGAAAACTCCTGTCACAGTATCACAGTATGTTAGAGATTGGAAGGGACCTCAAAAGATCATCTAGTCCCATCTCCCTGCCGGAGCAGGAACACCTAGATAAGGTTACACAGGAATGTGTCCAGGTGGGTTTTGAATGTCTCCAAAGAAGGAGACTCCACAACCTCCCTGGGCAGCCTGTTCCAGTGTTCTGTCACCCTCACTGAGAAGAAGTTTCTTCTCAAGTTTAAGTGGAACCTCTTGTGTTCCAGTTTGTACCCATTGCCCCTTGTCCTATCATTGTTTGCCACTGAGAAGAGCCTGGCTCCATCCTCGTGACACTCCCCCTTTATATATTTATATACACTTAATAAGGTCACCCCTCAATCTCCTCTTCTCCAAACTATAGAGACCCAGCTCCCTCAGTCTTTCCTCATAAGGGAGATGCTCCACTCCCTTAATCATCTTAGTTGCCCTGCTCTGGACTCTCTCCAGCAGGTCCCTGTCCTTTTTAAACTGAGGGGCCCAGAACTGGACACAATATTCCAGATGAGGTCTCACCAGGGCAGAGTAGAGGGGAAGGAGGACCTCTCTCGACCTACTAACCACCCCCCTTCTAATACACCCCAGGATGCCATTGGCCTTCTTGGCCACAAGGGTACAGTGTTGGCTGATGGTCACCCCATCGTCCACTAGGACCCCCAGGTCCCTCTCCACTACACTGCTCTCTAACAGGTCGTTCCCCAACCTATACTGGAACCTGGGGTTGTTCCTGCCCAGATGCAGGATTCTACACTTTCCCTTGTTATATTTCATCAAGTTATTCCCCACCCAACTCTCCAGCCTGCCCAGGTCTCGCTGGATGGCAGCACAGCCTTCCTTTTCTGTTTGTTCTAAGCATCAAGTTCCACACTACTTCCAGGTGAATTCACATGGATGCTTTACTTTTTCTTCTTGCAGATGGCAAAGCTCCGTAGCCTTTCCAAGAATCCTGAGAACGAACCTGTGAATCCACTAGTTGATAACTGGCGCCCACCTCAGCCTGTGAAGGGCAGAATAGTGAGAGCCTCATTCAAGTGAAGTCTCAAGGCTCACTCTGCTCAACCTGAGTGGGAAAACCCCTGCATCCCAAAGTGTAGTTAGTTTTTGCTGTCTACTGCTTTTCCTCTGGATCCAGATCTGTTTCTCAGCTTGAAATTCTGAGTGGTAAAACTGAATCTGATTTTGCAAGCAGAAAAAATACTGCATGCAAATGCTAACCTTAATAAGGAAGTGCAAGAGATACATGATTCTTGACCACAAATGCTGAGTTATTTGTGATGGTGTCCCTTCTCTGCCATGTGGTCTTGGAAGAACAATGGGCTCAGTTTCAATATCTAAAATTAACTTCAAAGGAAATGTAGTAAAGGCAGAAAAATGAACCAATAGTTCAGAAAAGCAGAAATAACAGTGAATGAACAGGAGGAAAAATGCTTGCTTCTAAAGCATCTCTAGCAACGATCTTCCTCAGATATCCCACCTCTAGTGCAAACATCCAAAGGGTAATTTCCTCTTGAACATACCAGATTTCTCCTTCCCTCTCCTGTTCACAGTTTGCTATCCATTACATTAGTATTCTGATACAATCAGGCGTATTCAGCTTCTGTGTGTGAAGAAGAAAAGATACCTTGCTGTCATTTCAGCATTTACTGTCTGTCAGTCCTGCTCCTGCCCATTGATCTTTTCTTCTTTCACTGCTGCTGTTACTCCACTCATCCAGCTGTAGAGTGCTGCTGGTGTCTTGGTGCCTTGTATTCAGTTACACCTTTAGTATTGCTGAGTGGAAAGTGGCTTTTTTCTGATGCTCTGTGTTACCTCCCAGGATGATGGATTTTTAGTTTTGATGCTGTACCTGTTTATTTTTTTATTTTTGACATCTTGGGATATATATTAATGATTTCACCTATTACGGATTTTATTGCATATAGAAAGGGTCTTTGTGGGTGACTCACATTTTATTTGTCTTCCCCAGTACTAAAAAATCCAGGTTAACTCACCTCAGTGTTCATTTATTGTGACTGTAGTTAGAGACTCTTAAGTGAAGTCTGTTAACTTTCTGGGGAGACCCATCAGCTTTTATATACAATCTGAGCAAGGAATCAATCACTGGCAGACAGAAACTTCTAAATCATATTCCCTTGTCCTTCATCATGTAAACTTTATCACTTAAGAATGCTTCCCAAACAGCGTAACACAAGTACCGTCTAGCTTGAACCCATGTGCAGACTATGTGAGTAAAGATTTGTTACATTGTATCAGGGTTATTATTTGGTACTATACATACAGGAGACTGGGTGGCCAAAACTGGTGCACAAATAATCCTGCAAATGAAGCTCTGGGATTCTGTGTATTCCTCTGGCTCATCAGGTGGTAGCAAAGTGCATTCTTTGTTAGATGTTGCCACAAACATGTTAATAGCAACATTTCTAAGGGATATGTCAAAGTCTGAAAAAAGCAGGGTTACAAATTACTAAGTGGGTGTTTTCCAGTTCTCCTTCAGTATTGCACTTTGCACCATTGCTAGAAAAATGGTGCTCCCAGAGGGAAGTACTGAATGGGTAACATGAGGGAAATTTTGCTGTTACTGCCAGCACAATTCAGTGAGAATTCAGGAATGAAACTGAGGGCAGTGTTTGAGCTTTTGTATTCTTGTATACATGTTCAAAAAATTGCTTAATTACTACACAGAGATACTATTTCAGTTTGTTAGAAGTGCATTTTGCTCAGTACAAAGCAGATTCATTTTAAAAATGAAGTTTGTGTCATCGGGAAGTGTTTATTGAATCCTTTCTGCATATGTTTTGGCATTGGCTTAATCTTATCAGAAGATCAGCTTTTGATATTGCAAGTGTACCACTTGCAACAGTATTGATTTTAAGAGTCTCTTATATCTTTAAACTCCCAAATCTGTACATCTTCTCAACACATAAATATGTTCCTACAGAAAGCTCATGAGCAACAGTTTTTCTACTGTACTGTATCTTACACGTAAAGTTTCTTCTCATATCCATATGCAGTTGATCTCGGTATTGAGAAAATTTCAACACAACTGAGACAGAAGTTTGAGCCGTTCTACCTAACTGGCTGTGATGTTTTAATCTCTTGTTATTGGGGCAATAAAACAAGATAACAGCTTTTAAAATAACAGCTTTTTTGTCTTCAGAGAATCAATAAATTTACTTACATAAAAAAATTATTTCTGGTTTTATTTCTGATGCTGAATGATGGTTAAAAGTAAGAACTTAGTAGAAAATTCTTTGATACATATGCTTATAATACAAGAGTGGACAGGCACACTTTTACCTGTTGAAGTTTAGTTTAATGTCTTCTCCTGGATACTGCGTCTCAAAATATGAGACATCAGAACAGTATCACTTGTTGTCTCTTTTCAAGTACAAAAAAAAAAAAAGTGTTTACTTCTTGCCTGAACACAAATATTCTCTTACATCTTCCCCAAATTTATACATTCATGTCTGATCATGAATACCACTCACTTGTATATGAATTTCTGTTTCTTGCAAGAAGGACATGGATCAGTTAGTTGAAGTGTTGCATTATTCTGAAAGTTCCTGGTTAATACATACTTTTTAAGCACACAAAATAAACTTGTTAAAGTGAAATGATACCTTATTTGTTCACAAAATCAAATACTGAGTGTGCTTTGCTTTATTTGCATGGTTTCTCTACTGTCTTTGAAAGGCAGAATAGGCAGAAGTTTATCAGCTACTGATGTAGTAGTTTTGGTTTCAGCAGGAAACACATGCTTTGTATGTTGGCACAAAGGAATACAGTCTGAAATTCATATTCTCTCATGCATTTGTTCTGGATCCATTCTGTCTTCAAACTATAACCACACAGAAAAAATCAACCTCATTGTAAATACGCTTTACGCTTCCTCACTTGAAGAATAAAGTATACATGGTTTTGTTTCATTGACTTTCTCTCTTTTATGAATAGTGTAGCTCAATATTGATTACCTTAGTAACAAAGAATATGTCACGTGGACTCTAATCCTGCTGCTTCATCTATCTTAGAGAAAGGGAGAGACAGCCTGTAAATTTTGTATTAAAACACAGAAACAGACTTGAATACAGATGGAGACCTCATGATATTGCTAGGAAAAAACCATTTTAGCTTTTTATATTTAGACTAGTCAGCTTAATACTTAAAGGGATGTGTAGAATCCCCTTAATCCTGTACATAACAAATGCCAGATTTACTTATCAATTAATCATGAATCTAACAGGAGATAATGTGTGATACAATTGTAGTTTGGATTTCAGTGAAGAGGCATGCTTGTCCTTGAAATGAATCTAGCATTGATTATTGCAAGTTTCATCCATTCTAATTAAAAGAGGAGCAGATAAAACTGCATCTCCAAATCTTTTAATTTTAAAAAGGCAATCATTCAGTATTTGTGTGAATACAAATAAAATGAACTGAAAAGTCAAAGGAGCTGTCTCTGCTTCAGAAAAATTAAAAGAATGGCATAATAAATTTCAACTCATCTGCTAAGAACTCTGTTTAACAAGATCTCCCTGGAGATGGCCTTCTGCCTTTCCAGGAAAATCCAACAGGATAGAAATGATGATGCCATCATCAGTACACAGAAGTGGCTGCACTACTGAACCATACCTGGGCTTAGCACAAGCAGGAGCACTTACACAGAATGTTATCTGTACAGCTGTGAATTCTAAAGTCTCACTACTGTGCCACTAATTCTCCAAGCCCAAGGTTTACCTTAGCTTGTGCTTTTGCACTACTATCATGCAGGCATCAGTAGGCAGAACATGCAGTAGGTGTTAGGAAAAAATAAGCCTTTGGTGAATTTGAGTTGCACACTGTCACACTCCTGCTGTTACTAATATCTTGAAGAAGATCTGTCAGGAAACTGCTGAAGAAGTCAAAATGCCTTACTGGAATTAAACCAACTTCCTCACTGGGCTAGATCAAGTAGACCATAGTTAAGTTCTCTCAGGCCAGTATAGTGGCAACAATAAAGCTTTACTAGACTAAGGGTTGTTTTCTTCCGGTTCCTCCCAGTATTTTTTTTCCTTACATTCCCACTATTAATCCTACCTTTATCCCACAGACAAACAGTGCAAACAAGTGAATGTCCAGTGCTTCTTGATGGCCTTTTCATGTTCATTTCCCATAGCCCACAGGGTGGAGCCAGTTCCTCAACGTTCAGGTTTCTGTCACCACTTGCAGCTACCTGGAGGCCTGAGCTGCCGCACAGAGGATTCCTCTAGCCTGCAGGAGTAACTAAACAAGCATTGAAACAAATCCAGTTTATCCAAATTACTCTTAAGCTATGAGATCCTGTGTTTAAATATACGTAGTTAGTAGCAGATTAATATCCATCCCCATCTAAAAAGCTTTTGTATTTTGCTCGCATGTTTACTCATGCAAAGTCTGTGTATATAATAAGCACTTTTGCTTCTATAGGTTGAAAAAAATCCAGCTAATTCCATTCCTAAAGTCCCAAAGAATCCTTTTGCACAGTAAGAGGAACTAAAGATGTAAATTCCGCAGTGGTACGCATCAAATTGGTTGCTGATTTGAGCAATCATGAGAGCAGGACTGCAGGACATGTTGCCCTGAATACTAGCAATAGCCTGTCTGACTATCTTTTTCAGTCTACATACTCCTTTTGTCTCTGCACATGATGTCTCAATCATCCTTCATGTTTATCATAATTTCTCCACTGAATTAAAAACCAAAGGCATTTCTATTAAAGTTCACTTCTTTCAGATAACATTGATTATTTTTTTTTCTTAACACTGCAGACTACCAACCATTAAACCCTAATTTAAGAGCTCCCACAGTGTTGTGCATTGTCTACGTAATAAACCTCTGTTGGAGAAAGAGTATAATCAAGGAGTAATAATTTTTCTTGTCAGGCATGACTGAGCAGCGGATGGCATCAGTGTCTGCAACATACCTAAATTTATAGCTATACAAATGTTACTGACCCTTGAATAAACAGACAAAAGTTGATTCATTGCCCAACAATGTGTAAGACCTATAATTGAAACACTGATTTCATTGTCTCTTTTAGGAAAGGCAGGGGATGCAAGTTCAGAAACAATATTTTCCATGCCTAATGTCTCAGAGCACTTTGCTATAACTTCCACCACCAAAAAAGTCTGCAAAAGGCATGGAGTCAGCTCAATCCAAATAAAAGTTGAGGCCATGAAACATGTCTTCTGCTTTCAAAGTAGCAATTGTGCTAGGAGTTACTATGGTGCAGTATTAATTAACAACAAAAATAATTATGTTCTTGTACAAGTGTCCATCTTCAGATTACTTCAATGACACTGTAAGTCCCATAAAACAGTTTAAACACTCCCAATCAGAATTCCTGTATGTGTTTCCCACAGCCTTAAAAAAACAAAAATCAAAATAATAATATTTGCTGTGTATACAGGTATCTATCTCCTCCTCCCTTAGAGGTGATGGGGAGTGAAGGTCTAACACAGAGAATCTTGCCTGTCCAGCTTGCTGGACTCTCAATTGCGACTTCTTACCCAGAGATATGAACCAAGTTACACTGAGTTGTGCTTTCTATTGTTTTATATTCCATTCAGTCTGAACTTTTAATGGTTAATATTTCCTAGTACAAATTTGTGTCAGTTTCATTTAACAGAATT